TGAGCCACTGTGCCTGGCCCTATATATCTTTTTATTGTGTACCTTAGCAATATATCTTGAAGATCTTTCCATATCAGCACATAGGTGCTAATATTTTTTCACATTGTGTAGTATCCCTTTGTATGCATATATAACTTACTCACCCATCCCTTAGTGATGGAGGTTTAGGTTGTTCTCAGTCTTTAGATATTACAAATGATGGGTCAATAGGCCGGGTCCAGTGGCTCATGCCTGTAATCCTAGCACTTTGGGAGGCTGAGGCAGGCAGATTGCTTGAGCCCAGGAGTTCAAGATCAGCCTGGGCAACATGGCAAGACTCCCATCTCTAAAACAAAATATAAAAATTAGGCCAGGCACAGTGGCTCACGCCTGTAATCCCCGCACTTTGGGAGGCCAAGGTGGGTGGATCACAAGGTCCGGAATTGGAGACCAGCCTGGCCAACATGGTGGAACCCCATCTCTACTAAAAATACAAAAATTGGCTGGGTGTGGTGTTGCGTGACTGTAATCCCAGCTACTCAGGAGGCTGAGGCAGGAACATCGCTTGAAACCCAAAGGCGGAGGTTGCAGTGAGCCAAGATCATGCCACTGCACTCCAACCTGGCAACAAGAGTGAAACTCCGTCTAAAAAAAAAAATACTAAAATTAGCTGGGCGTGGTGGTGTGCGCCTGTAGTCCCAGCTACTCTGGCGGCCAAGGTAGGAGAATTGTGTAAGCCAAGAGGTGAAGGCTGCAGTGAGCTGTGATCAGGCCACTGCACTCCAGCATGGGTGACAGAGTGAGATCCTGCAAAAAAAAAAAAAAAAAAAAACCAGGGACAGAAAAGCTCAACACTGTAAAGATGTCATATGTGACTTCAGTCAAAATCTAAATAGTTTTCTTGTGGAACTGCATAAAGAACAATGACCAATGACTAGGAGAGCGCTGAAGAATATTATCCTTCCAAATGCTGTAATATTATAATTAAGACAGCATGGGCCAGACACAGTGGTTCACATTTGTAATCCCAGCACTTTGGGAGGCTAAAGTGGGTGGATTGCTTGAGCCCAGGAGTTCAAGACCAGCCTGGGCAACATAGGGAGACATCGTCTCTACAAAAAAATACAACAATTAGGGGTGTGGTGGTGTGCACCTGTAGTCCCAGCTGCTTGTGAGGTTGAGGTGAGAGGATCACATGAGCCCGGGGAGGCCCAGGCTGCTGTGAGCCATGACCGTGCCACTGCATTCCAGCCTGGGCAACAGACTGAGACCCTGTCTCAAAATTAAAAAAAAAAAAAGACATAGGAAAAGATATATCAAACAAATGTTAACAAAATGCTGGTTTAGCAATAACAGTCAGATTCTGTAGAATTCATACAAGATCAGGCACATTCAGAGTGCTATGGCTGTAGACATTCTATATAATTTAAAGAGAAGAGGATCAAATGGGACAGAAAAAGATATTTCATTTTGATCAAAAGAATAATTGACTATCAGGAGTGAACCCTTAAACACCTAAAACATAACTTCAAAATATATAAGCCCAAAAACTGAACTAGGAAAAATTGTCAATGATGGGTATTTTAACCATCTTTCTCACTAATCAAATAGACTCCCTAAAATTTAAGATATGGAAGATTTGTACAGCACAGTTAGCAAGACCAATCAAATAAATGGTAAAATCTTTTCATAACCAGTAAGTGGGGTCCAGAAATACAACCGTGTGATGTGCAGACCTGCCTTATTTTGAGGTTAAAGTGGCCTTGGCGAGCCTGCACAGCTGGGGTGCCCCATCAGCCCAGGCCAGCTAGGATTGGTGCCACCTGGTGGCAGTTGTCTACTCCAGAATAAATCACTCATCTTTACAAGGTGGAATGTTTTTGTTTATACACACACACACACACACACACATATATACACATATATACACATACACACACACACACACACACACACACACACACACACACACACACACATATATATATATATATATTTTTTTTTTTTTTTGCGACGGTGTTTTGCTCTTGTTACCCAGGCTGGAGTGCAATGGCACGATCTCGGCCCACTGCAACCTCCGCCTCCTGGGTTCAAGCACTTCTCCTGCCTCAGCCTCCCGAGTAGCTGGGACTACAGGTGCGCACCACCAGGCCCAGCTAATTTTTGTATTTTTAGTAGAGACAGGGTTTCACCTTGAATTGACCAGGATGGTCTCGATCTCCTGACCTCGTGATCCACCCTCCTCGGCCTCCCAAAGTGCTGGGATTATAGGCATGAGCCACCTCACCTGGCCGTTTATATATTTTTTGAGACAAGATCTTGCTCAGTTGCCCTCCTAGGGTGGAGTGCAGTGGTGGGATCGTGGCTTACTACATCCTCAATTTCCCAGGTTCAGATGATCCTCCCACCTCAGCCTCCTGAGTAGCTGGGACTATAGGCATGTGCCACCAAGTGCAGCTAATTTTTAAATTCTTTTTTAGAGATGGGGTCTCATTCTGTTGACCAGGCTGGTCTCAAACTTCTGGCCCAAGCGATCTACCTGTGTCAGCCTCCCGAAGTGCTGGAGTTAGAGGCATGAACCATGGCACCTGGCCGGAATATGGTGGGTTTTTATTTTTATTTTTTTAATCTTTGTGCTTAGTCCAGATCGTCTTTCATGAATATGAATTACTTGAAGGAAAAACACACTACATTTTTCTAAGCCCCTACTCTTGTCTATAAAATGAAGAAGGCAGTTTGAGTCCTAAGATTTCTCTAGCTACGCAGGCCTATGAGTTGGCACTGAAAGAGCCTCCCAACTCTTGACATCGGCTGCTCCGACTCTCCTGGTTTATAGCTGCATCTGCCCCAGGGCCCTCCTGCTTGTGGCCTGGGCTGAGTTGTCTTCCGCTCTGGGCCAGTCATTGCTTCCCAGGCCTTTCCCATCTTGGGAAAATTTCCCCCAGGGTTATCCTCTCCCTCTCTCAGCCCCAGGTCTCATTCATCCCCTACTTTTTTGTTTGTTTGTTTTTGAGGTGGAGTCTTGCTCTGTTGCCTAGGCTGGAGTGTGGTGGCATGATCTCTGCTCACTGCAACTTCCACCTCCCGGGTTCTAGAGATTCTCCTGCCTCAGCCTCCCTAGTAGCTGGGATTACAGGTACCCGCCACCACGCCTAGCTAATTTATGTATTTTTAGTAGAGATGGGGTTTCACCGTGTTGGCCAGGCAGATCTCAAACTCTTGACCTCAGGTGATCCGCCCACCTCAGACTCCCAAAGTGTTGGATTACAGAGTGAGCTGCTGTGCCCAGCCATCCCCTACTGTTGTAGAACAAATTACTCATCTCTTTGATCATCATTATTTCCCCCAAAGATTTGGACTCACCAGATGACTCATTTAGGGCAATTTCCCAAAGTTTATGCCTCAGAATATTGGTTCCAAGAGCTATTAAATTGTTTAAAAGGGCTCAATCACCAATCTGGGAAATGCCAGATTAAATAAAAGTTTTTACTGCAAGACTTTTCAGAGGCCTTTAACATGCCAACAAAATATTCTCCAAGAGGAGATATAACACTTTTATCTGCAAGTATTGCCTTTGATTTTAGAAAACCAACAAAGGAAGATGTTTGTTATGGCAAGGATAATGCTATATTTCATCAGATCTTTTTGCATTTTCCTCTTTCTGGGTACTCAGGAATTCCTGACAGCACTCCCAGCCGCCATTGCAGTTATGTTGGGGCCATGTGACTAATTCTGGACAATGGGAGTGGAAGCGACATGTGTTGTTTCTGAGCCAAAGCCTGGAGAAGCAGAACACGCTCCTCCAGCACCTTCTCCCTTGGATTCAGTGATTGGTGACTGTGGAGGCCATTTACTGTGATGGTACAGAAGGAAAGCAGCCTGAATCACAGGGCACCACACAGAAGGCAGCTGACCTGGGAAGTCACTCGACTCAGAAGGGACTTCCCATGAGTTAAAAATTCCCGTGTTAAGCCTGAGATGCCTGGGTTGACTCCACAGCATGGCTGAGCCATTTGACTAACACATTAGTAGACAATGTGAAGGGAAGCGCCTGTCACTGCAGAGAGGTTCTTGGGAACGGGCAACTGGAACTGTTTGTCCCATTGGTGAGCTAAAAGGGAGGATTTCAGATGTTCCAAGGAGACAGAGAAGAGAGTGCCCACCAGCTGTCCTTATGTTTTTTTTTTGTTGTTTTTTTGTTTTGTTTTGTTTTGTTTTGTTTTTTTTGAGACGGAGTCTTGTTCTGTCGCCCAGGCTGGAGTACAGTGGCTCAATCTTGGCTTACTGCAACCTCTGCCTCCTGGGCTCAAGCGATTCTGCTTTAGTCTCCCAAGTGGCTGGGATTACAGGTACCCACCACCAGGCCCAGCTAATTTTTGTGTTTTTAGTAGAGACAGGGTTTCACCATGTTGGCCAGTCTGGTCTTGAACTCCTAACCTCAGGCAATCTGCCTGCCTCGGCCTCCCAAAGTGCTAGGATTACAGGCGTGAGCTACTGCACCAGCCGGTGCCACACACTTTTAAACAACTGGCTCTTGTAAGAACTCACCCACTATCTTGAGGACCATACTGGGGGGTGGTACTAAATCATTCATGAGAAACCCACCCCCATGACCCAGTCACCTCCCACCAGGCCCCACCTCCAACACTGGGATTCCACTTCACCATGAGGTTTGGGCAGGATGCCAATCCAAACCACATCAGCTTTCGAGCCTCACAGAATTGAGGAGAAGATCCCCAGCTCCATGTTTCACAGGGCCTGGTGTAAATGATCCACCTCTTGACCCTCAGACACTCCCCCTTTGCTGCCCCTAAGTTTGTTGTAGGGTAGTGGATGCCAGTAAGTGGAATCTCCTTTTTGCATTTTCAAAAAGGTGGCAGACTTACAGTGAGCCAAGATCGTGCCACCGCACTCCAGTTTGGGTGACAGAGCAAGACTCCACCTAAAAAAAAAAAGTGTGACACCTCCTGCTCCTCTTCCTCCTGCTTTCACCGTTTGATGCATCTGCCCCCATTCACCTTCTGCCATGATCGGGAGCTTCCTGAGGCCTCCCCGGAAGCAGATGCTGATACACTTCCTGTCCAGCCTGTAGAAGCGTGAGCCAATGAAACCTCTTTTTTTATAAATTACTCAGTCTGAGATATTCCTTTACAGCAATACGAGAACGGCCCACTTTCTACCTCCAGGGCTACAGAGGAAAGAAACTGAGGGATAAAGAAGGATGATGGTGAGAAGAAAAACATTTTAAAACCACAGCTACTGTTTAGCACACCTGCTCCTCCCCTGCCGTGGGTGACCCATGTTGGCCTCTTGATGTGGCAGAGTGGGGAAAATGCAGGTTGAAAAGGAAGCCCCTTATGAGAGTCGCTGTAACCAGAATAGCGAAAGTCCAGGGCTTTTTGTGTGTGTCTATTTTTTAGTGCTTTTAGCCACACCAGTGGTTTTCAAACTTTGGGCATGTCAGAATCACTTTTGGAAGTTGCTAAACATGCCCAGGCCTCTGCCTTCCTTCGCCTCCAGGAGATCCTGACAAGACTTGTCTTGTTTTAAATGTTCTCCCATTCCCTGTATTATCTCTGTATCCTCAGGGGTCATTTTTGTTTATCTTGATCTCTCTTTTCCAAGTTGCAGGCTTTCTTTTAATATTATTATTATTTTTTTAGCTGGAGTCTTGCTCTGACAGCCCAAGTTGGAGAACCACTGATGGAGGCCACAGTGCATATTCCAGAAAAGAAGTTCACAAGGTAATCATGGTTCGCGTTTTGCTAAATCTTTCACCCATGAAAATGAATGTACATCATTTTCTGAATCCAAATTTGAATGATATGATATATGCTTTTTTAAAACCCTGGTTTCCACAAGCCAGTTCCTGGGACTAAGAAAGAGCTGATCCTCTAGACTGGATAAAGAAAATGTGGCATATACACACGATGGAATACTATAGAGCCATAAAAAAGAATGAGATCCTGTCCTTTTCAGGGACATGGATGAAGCTGGAAGCCATCATCCTCAGCAAACTAACACAGGAGAAGAAAACCAAACACTGCATGTTCTCACTCATAAGTGGGAGTCAAACAATGAGAACACAAGGACACAGGGAGGGGAACATCACACACTAGGGGATAGGGGGCAAGGGGAGGGAGAGCATTAGGACAAATACCTAATGCATACGGGGCTTAAAACCTAGATGACAGGTTGATAGGTGTAGCAAACTACCATGGCACATGTATACCTATGTAACCTGCCCATTCTGCACATGTATCTCGGAACTTAAAGTAAAATTAAAAAAAAAAAAAAAAAGCTAACTCCACAGCAGCGTGGAGTTAAAGCATCGGAGTTCATCTGAGAGCTCTTTTGGTTTCCTTAGTGACTGGCTCCCTGAGGGAAAGTAGCCAAGTCCTCAGGTGGGGACCACTAGCACCCATCCCCACCCCCAGGCGAGTGAGTAAATCAGTGTGTTCCATGGGAGCCTTGGGGACTATTTCATCATGCTTGTTTGCAGTGACTTGTCTAGGCATGGGTCTTTGTACTGGGTACTAGGTGAGCCCTTTTGATCCAAAGTCTTGGGTCCTTTGCTATGAAAAATGTGCTTGTGTAATTTTTTGATAATTGCGTCCCCTGTATGTTTATTTTCTGGAAACTTTAACAGGAGAGTATCGGAAGTCTGGAATTGATCTTCCAGGTCACTTACCTTTTGTTTCTTATACTCCATTCTCCGATGTTTGTTCCTTCTGGGAAATTTTCCTGGTTTTGTTTTCCAAACTTTCTGAGACATTTTCTTTGTTCTCCGCAATCAGGTTTAATTTTCAAGGGTACTTGATCCCTGTCTCTTTCTTATACGGAAATTAGTATTGGAGAATCCTAGGTAGACTTGTCTTGTTTTAAATGTTCTTCCATTCCCTGTATTATCTCTGTATCCTTGGGGGTCATTTTTGTTTATCTTGATCTCTCTTTTCCAAGTTGCAGGTTTTCTTTTATTATTATTTTAGACAGAGTCTTGCTCTGTCACCCAGACTGGAGTGCAGTGGCGCGATCTTGGCTCACTGCAACCTCCACCTCCTGGGTTCAAGTGATTCTTTTGCCTCAGCCTCCTGAGTAGCTGGGACTATAGGTGCGCACCACCACACCCAGCTAATTTTTGTATTTTTAGTAAAGACGGGGTTTCGTCATGTTGGCCAGTCTGGTCTCAAACTCCTGACCTCAGATGATCCACCCACCTGAGGAGCAGCCCACAAGAGTGGTGGGCTTCCTTCTGGAACACTGAAGCCATAGGGAGCCAGTCTATACCCAGGGCCTGCTCTGGTCCTCCCAAGCAAGAAACAGGAAGCCCCAGCTCAGGAGGAATGAACGAGGAGAGAGAGGTATCCTCAGAGAAGGACCAGGCTGCACTGGGGTAAGGACACAGAGGCAGGGTCTGTGAAGAGGTGAGGAATGAGGGTAAACTCTCCAGGAAAACAGGCTGCAGAGGACAAATGGGGAGTGTTGGGAACAAAGGGAAATGCTGAGCTGAATGTGGATGAGAGAGAGCTCAGGGGCTGAAGTCAGGCTGAGGAGACCCAGGGCTATTCATATGAGTGGGCTAACTCGCCTCTGGATTCTGATGGGGACGTTGATGGGGGGAAGCCGCTCCCTCATCAGGGGTAACAGTAGCCCCAGGAGGTGGCTGAGGCCTTGACCTTATCAGCTGCTGCTGCTGTTTTAGACACCAACAGAAGAAGTTCGGCAGTCCTTGGCACTCAAGTGCTCAGGCCAGCAAAGAGGAGAGTCTGCATAGCAGTGGAGTTGAAGGGAGGCCAGATCACATCCCAGAACTAAAGGTCCTGCTGGTTCCAGATGCCATAGCCATCCATCACCTCTGGACACAGCTGCAAAGGCCATCCTGGTCTCTGCTGCTTTGTGTAGTCCTTCCCTGATTCCCAGTCAAGCATGGGTGATCAGGGACAGGAAAAGGAGGCCGGGAGAGTGGGTGTCTGGCCCTGTGCACTTCCATAGCAGAATGTGGTCACACCCCTAGCACACTTCCTAAGGAGGGGGTCAGACGCCAGGTTGCCCAGAATGCCACATGGCAATATTTGCAGAAAGATATACAACTACAGCCATTTTAAAAAACAAACGCCTGGTAGTAGCAAATTGATTTAAAAAAACAAAAACAACACCTCATTTAAGCTGGGCACAGTGGCTCATGCCTGTAATCCCAGCACTTTGGGAGGCTGAGGCGGGTGGATCACCTGAGGTCAGGAGTTCGAGACCAGCCTGGCCAACATGGTGAAACCCCATCTCTACCAAAAATGCAAAAATTAGCTGGGCGTGGTGGTGGGCTCCTGTAGTCCCAGTTACTCAGGAGGCTGAGGCAGGAGAATCACTTGAATCCAGAAGGCAGAGGTTGCAGTGAGCCAAGATTGTGCCAATGCACTCCAGCCTGGGTGACAAGAGCAAAACTCTGTCCACAAACAAACAAACAAAAAACACACACACCTCAACTCTCTTGGACTTTGCCTCAGCTCACTGCCTCTGGCATCTTTCCTAAGGAAACCATTTATTTTCCCACCTGAGTTCCTAGTAAGGCATCTCAGTTTTATTCTCTCCTTTGCAGTAAAGCTTAGAGCAAGAAAAATGGCAGCTGGCAGGTACCTTCAAGTCCAAGATTTCCAGAGAGAAGACATCTCTTCTCTGCAGAGACCCTCCCAGCCTCTCCCTCCCTCAAATTAGTGCATCTACATAGACCGTCCTCCTTATAAATACTGTCTCAGGATGCCAGCCCATTCCAAATCTACTTGTGATTGCGGAATCGCAGGGAATATGATTTACCGCAGGTTACAGGGCGTCGTGCCTTTTAGGGTACCTGCTCACTTTGGCCACTAGGTGGTGCACGGTGCAGTCTCTGATCCTCTCGAGCCTCAGCATTCAGCATGTCCACGGCCTCCTACTCCGCAGGGGGCGCTGATGAGATGAGGCTGAGGTCTAGGAAGAAGGCAAGGGCTTGGTTTTGTAAACAACTCAATTCCTCACTCGCCGATAACTTTTCTGTGATGCATATTCACAACCTGGTGCCATCCAAAGATCTAAGAATGAACATATAATATGGACAGCCCCCTCCTGGCATGATCTTGGGGTCTGATATTCTGTGGGTCTGTGCAGTTGTCAACACACGTGCTGGGGTGTCCTTGGGCACAGACTACAAGGACACAGATAGGTGCACATCCAGGCGCCAACTCACAGTAACCACAAACTCTTTTGAGCGCTTCTGTGTACCACGCTATCGGCCAGTGTTTTACAAATCATCGTGCTTTCCTCCCAGAAGCCCTTCAGTGGGGGATCCGAAGGGGGCGAGAGGGGCTTTCTAGTATGAAAGCTTACACGTGTAGTTCCAGCTGCCCGGCTTGCTGGCTGTGTGCCAGTTACTGCTCGCCAGTGAATCTACCATACCTCAGTTTCTTCATCTGCAAGAGGAATAACAGCAGGATCTACTCAGAGGCTTGTTAAGAGGATGAAACGTGATGGTACCTGTAAAGTGCTCAGAACGGTGTGTGGCATGCGTCGTAAGCATGTCACAAACGTTGGCTATTATTACCTCATTTTGCGGATAAGCAAGCTAAAGCTCAGAGAGGTTACCCTACTTGCCTAAGGTCACACAGCCAGCAGGGGGCTCAGCAGAGATCCAGACACAGATCCTTATGATTCCTCGCTGCCAGACTGAGCTTACAATCTGTTAGTCTATAGGCCAGTGATGCCTCTGGTTTCTACTTGTGGTTTTGATTAGCTGAGTACTATGTAAATTGAGAACACTTTCTCATTCTGCTAAAACAGTGTGGTCCTCATTTCTATGAAGTTCCCAGGTGATGCTGTTACCACCAGCAGCAGCATTACCTGGGAACTTGTTAGAAATGCAGAAAATCCTCAGGCCTCCCTCCAGACCTACTGCTCAGAACTCTAGGGATGGGGCCCAGTGGGCTGTTGCAGCAAGCCCCCCAGTGATCGTCACACACATTCAAGTTTGAGAACCCTTGCTATAAAATATGTGTCTCATAAGACCAAGCCGCTGGCTTACATTCAAAAATATTTACTTAGCATGATCTTGGCAGTTCCAAGAGGAATGTGCCAGAAACCAAGCAAGGAAGAAAAATAAATAAATGGAAATGGAAAGTGATCTGCTCAGAAGCCATGAAGTTGAGGGAGGAGGTTTGCAGAGTGGGATTTGGCCTGAATGATGCCTGAGGAAGTATGGAAAGTGGTCTCAACAGCAGGACTGTGTGTGCAGCTCTCAAAGTGGGTACACAGGGTCGTCTGCAAGTTCTGGGTGGATCTAGCACCTGGGTTGCTAAAAGTTGCATAAATGGCCAGCGTTCATACTTTCTGCTTGCTTGTACAAAGTCACTCTTTTAGAGCAATTTTTCTAAAATTGCTAGGCGAGGTCTGATAAGATTGGAGGAAGTGATGGCTCTCAGTCTCTAATAAGAGGCTTTTGTGGAGTGACACGTCACAGCCAGGGAAGGCTCACCTCTGTGATCTCAGCCTGTCTCACATCGGGGACCAGAAGGCAGCTTGTCCTGGAACTGCTTCATTCACAGAAGGCCCCAGTGAATATAGAAATGGCACATCGAAGGAAGGAGTAAGGAAAACAGGATGGCGAGTCCTCAAAAATTAAACAAAATTACCTTTTTATTTATTTATTTATTGTAGAGATGGGTCTCACTTTGTTTCCCAGGCTGGTCTTGAAGTCCCAGGCTCAAACAATCCTACCACC